GGTGTGTTCAGAGACCACCAGATACAGGCTCAGCACCTCCCCGTCCGTAGGCTTGGACAGTAGGGGCGGCTTCCCAAGGTGTTCCTTTAATTGCTGGAACATGTGTTCGCACTCCTCTGTCCATTGAGAAGGCTTGGTCCCTCTCAGGGTGTCGAAGAATGGTATGCACTTATCTGTAGATTTTGAAATGAATCTATTGAGTGCAACAATACAACCCGTTAGCTTCTTCGGTTTCCGTGGTGATTTCATGTCGATGAGCGCCTGCACCTTTTCTAGATTAGCTTTGATTCCTCAACTGTTCACCATGAAACCTAGGAATTTTCCTGACTTAACCCCGAACGCACACTTAAGGGGGTTCAACTTCATCTTGTACTTTCGCAGTACGTCGAACATTCTCCTGAGGTCTTCCACATGATCTTTAGACCTCCTGCTCTTCACCACCATGTCATCCACATAAACCTCTATGGTTTTACCTATATGGTCCGTGAACATCTTATTGACCAGGCGCTGATATATTGCTCCCGCATTTTTAAGGCTAAAGGGCATGACCTTGTAGCAATATAGGCCCCTGTCAGTGATGAAAGATGTGTGTTCCTCGTCGCAGTGGAACATCGGTATCTGATTGTAGCCAAAATAAGCATCCATGAAACTGAGGAGTTCATGCCCCGCTATAGCGTTGACCGGTTGATCTATCCTTGGGAGTGGAAAGCTGTCCTTCGGGCAGGCTTTGTTTAAATCACTGAAGACGACGTAAGTCCGCCACTTTTCGTTAGGCTTCAACACCAACACAGGGTTTGATACCCACTCAGGGTATAGGACTTCCCGGATGAAGTCGTTCTTTATTAGCTTGTCGACCTCCTCCCGTAGAGCTGCATACCTCTCGGCATTCATCGGTCGATGCTTTTGCCTCCTAGGGGGGTACTTTTCATCTATATTGAGCCTATGGCTCATTATGTCCAGGCTAATCCCCTCTATGTCTTCGTGGGTCCAGGTAAACACGTCAGGGTTGCCCCTGAGGAATGCTACTAGTTCTTCCCGGTTATGCTATTTAAGTTCTGAGCCTATCCTCAATTTCCTCGTAGGCTCCTTTTCATCGATGAAGACCTCCATCAATTCCTCGACTGGCCCCGTCCCCGTTTCTCCGTCTGAGAGTCCAAGGTCTAGGTCGACCTCCTTGGCTCTGGTCACCACCACCCTCATTTCTCTTTTGGTCTGCCCTGGCTCGGCGTAGTGGCAGGCTGTCTCTGAATACGTAAGCCTCGACTCGTATTGGCTCCCTCTGACCTTTCTGACTCCACTAGGTGTCGGGAACTTCATTGTTTAGTGATAGATCGACGTGACTGCTTTCAATGCCCTCAACGTCGGTCGCCCTATGACCGTGTTATATTAGTCGCCTCCCTTCACCACCAAGAACCGTGACATAACGATCAAGGTGTGTGGTCGGTCGCCAATTGTCATTGGCAATTTTATCATTCCCTCGGGGACGACGCAATCCCCTATGAAGACATACAGTGGTTATGGGCTATTCTGTAGCCTTACCCGAAGGATTCCCATCTTGTCGAGGCAATCGGCTTATAGAATGTCCACCGAGCTGCCGTTGTCCACCAGGATGCAACAGACCGTATGGTTTCCAATCATGGCCTCCACCACCAGAGCGTTGCTTTGGGGGAAATGTACCACGTTTGCATCCGCTTCTGAAAATGTTATCTCAGCCTCTTCAAACCTTGCGGCCTTTGACTCCCTACCGGACACACTTATAATCCTCCGGTTGAATTTTTCCTTCACTTCTCTCGCATATTCTTTCTGTACACGGCGAGAGGCGCCGCCGAGGTAAGGCCCACCAAAGATCATCCTTATCACGCCGACGGGCTCGAAGGTTGGTCTTGCCTTTGATCCTCCCGTCGGTCGTTGTTCCTCCAATTATTGTTGCCCCGTCAGTCGGCTCGGTATTCGCTGAGCCTCCCTTCACGGATCAACCTCTCGACCTCATCCCTTAGGTCAAAACACTCGCTGGTCGTGTGTCCACTCTCACCATGAAACCTGCAATACTTGTTTTGGTTTCTCGTGCTAGGTCAGACTTCAGCGGCGGTGGACGACGCAGTACCTGGAGGTGACTGATCTCATGATAGACGTCATCAATCCCTATGGTTAATAGGGTGTAGGCGTCATACTTTTGTGGCTTGGCCCGCTTGGTGTCCCCCTACCCCGTCGAGGCGTTGCCGCCCCTGTTGTTTGGGGCCGGATTGTACCTTGGCTCAATCTGCACCTGAGGATTACCTCGACGCTTCTTACCGTTGTTTTTCTGGCTCGGCTGTCCCACCTCTTCTTTGGTGGTAACCACCACTTTGCTCTTTAAGGCCTTTTTGGCCTCTTCTACGTTAATGAATCCCTTGGCCCTTGCCAGGAATTCTTGGTAGGTTTAGGGTGGCCTCCGGTCGAAGTCCGTGCTGTATAGGATGTCCTTCTTCATGCTTGACAAGGCCCTCATCAAGGCTACCTCGTCGGAGATCCCTTCGGTGGTAGCCACATGTTCCCCAAACCGGGCTATCCAATCTTTTAGGGACTCGTTTGATCCCTGATACACCCTCGAGAGGTTCTGTTTTGGTGGGATGTACTTCTTGACACCTATGAAGTGAGTCAGGAAGGAGTTATTCAAGTCATCCCAGCTGGTTATTGAGTTTGGATTTAAGGACCTGAACCATCTCCTGGCAGAGTCAGAGAGATGATTTCTGAACGTGCGGCACATGACCTCCTCGGGGTACCCATGTAGGACCATGTGCCCCGTGTAGACTTCCAGGTGGTCGTCTGGGTCACTTCTTCTGTCGTACTATGGGATAGGCGGCGACTTGTACTTATCGGGTAGCGGCACCCGAATGATGTTCTCTGTAAAGGGGTGGTCGTGAGATGTATACATCTTGGCGTCGACATTTACAGCCTCGGCCACCTTCCGCACAACTTGTTCGAAGTTGTTCAGCCGACTCCCTATCTGCTTTTTTAGCTTAGCCATCTTCTCGACCAGGGCTTTATTCTCGGCCGCCAGCTCTTCTTCCTTGGACTACTGCACATCTCTCTCACGTCGAGCATTCAACCGTTCTCTCAGGTCTTCCCCGCATACGGACAAGGATTCTATTGGGACCGTGTCCCTCCTTCTCATGTTCTCCTGCGTTTGAGGGGGTATCCCTCAGCCATTTTCTGCTTCGACTGCGGCTCTCTCCTGGGCTCTCCTCCTTGCAGCTCATTGCCTACTCCCCACGGATCTATTCGACCTGGCTGGGCGGGGGTTGTTGGCCCCACTGTCACCGACCCCCTCGGAGTCACCACGTCGGTCACCGGTTACTTGGTTCCCAACGGTGGCGTTCACCGGGTTCATCGGCGCGTCCTCTAGTGGTGGCATCGAGTCTGGCCTTTGTTCCCGTCTGGCGAGGGCTGTGGTCATCCTTTCTATGACCACAACAAGTGTTTCTACCTGCCTTTGGAGCTGGTCAAGGCGGTCTGGAGGGTTTCCAGCGGCCTGTGGCTGCGCCCTATGGTTAGGTCGTGCCCTAGCGGGTTCCTGGCCACCATTGGGTGGGTTCGCCGGATTCCTCCCTCCGTGGGCCGAGTTCTAGACTTCTTGGCTTTTATGAGTTGCTGTCATGCTACGGGTCTTTCTCGGGGCCATACTTACTGCTGGATTGATTTCTTGGGTTCCTAGGCCCTCCTTCTAGCGCCAATTATTGATGGTGGATTTTAATCAACAAGAAATTATAACTCTCCGAGAACACTCGCACTAATCACTCATGTATTAATCAGGGATTAATGGTACTGAATAAGTAAATGAGACAAGAGTTTATAGTGGTTCGGCTAAAATTCTTTGCCTACATCCACTTGTGCATGCACTAATATGTTGTAGATTACAAGTTCTGTAGAAGTCTCTAAGTGAGGGCGTAAAAAACTTAATGAACTTTTATGGCTCTATTTATAGGCCTTATACATGTGAAAAACCCCCTGCACTTCCCGAGGAGATCAACCTCTATCCCTTAATTTGGGGATGTGGCAGCTGGATTTCCCTGATTATTGCTTCCCGGTCAGGTTAACCACTCTTTACCCGATGCCTGATTTCCTGACTCCAACAGTGGCAGTAGGTGATACAGTGTATCTTCCCCAGGACTGACAGCAGATTTGACTGGGCTGATGTCTCGACGTCGGGTCCTCACCACATGGGCTAGGCCCTCGACACGCATTAGCGCATGTGACTTCTCGACGTCTAAAGGGTACTCTGGACACACTGGTTCCCTCGGCACCAACGACCGGTCCTCAACGGGGAGTCCTTGACGCTTGTCACCCAGAGGAAATGTCGATCCCTCGACCGTGGTGTAACAATATTATTATTCGAGCGGTATGTCAGTATGGCTACTTTGCCTCCCGGGGATTGCTACTCTTCCTGCTGGTCTTATCGACAGTCGTCTCACAATAGAGGCTTCGACAACATGGTTTGTGGTTTTGTTATTTATTTTCTTTGGGTGTGCACGTGTTTTTGTGATTATAATAATTGTGTTTCGTATGTCGACTGTTTTGTGTGTTTGCCTCCTGTATATATTTTAGTGTTTGGCATTGCGTTTTCTATCTATTGGATTTGTTTTGTTTTGTTTGTTGTTTGTCTTTTATTTTATTTTATTTTGTGTGTGTGTGTGTAGAGCCTTATAAGGGTCATGGGATTCTCAAGATTTAATCAAACGGCTAAAAAGATTTGCTCTCTAAAATCTTCAACCAAAATTGAGACATTATCATCATGATGCCGTCTTTTCTTAAAACCCTTCTGTTTTTATAAGCCAACGTTTTGCAATATCCTCGATATTACTGTTAATTTAAGATCAATGTCTCAGAGATTTTAATAGGAGCACTGAATTTTAATTTTTTTTGAAAAGAAAAAATTTATTCTAGAGTGTTAAAAGTCAATACCACACAACTTCCTAGTACCATATAAAACATGACACATTGACAAACAATTGGTTTCACTGTCAAACTCAAATAAAACACCAGGAAAATTAGGTGTACCAAGCTGCACAAACGAAAGACATCCAAAAAAGTCTGATCAAATATAGCACATACACATGACTCTTGTTTTGGATCCTTACATATATATGCATATAAATAATATAATATAATCAAATACTACCCTTTTCATTTATAATGTGCGAGACAATATTATTTCGCAAACGTGCATCCACAATCTAATTAAATCGAGGTAATTTAGTTGCCCAATTTTGCAATGAACTCATCAATGTTTTTATCAGAACTTCCACCCTCATTTACAGCCATCTTGGCCAATGCACTCCACTTAATTGCATTCATTTTCATCTCCCTTCCTCTTTCTCCTTCGATTATTTCCTTCACATAATGTTCCACGGCTTCTCCTCTAACAATCCCTTTCTCGTCTGTCGGAGCTCTGAGTCCAACTTTCCAAACATCCACAACATATTTTGCGTTAGTAAATTGGTCACTCCATTGCGGTATAACCACCATAGGAACTCCCAAACTAAGGGCTTCCAAAGTGGAGTTCCAACCACAGTGCGTGACAAAGCATCCGACGGCGTCGTTTGACAAAACTTCTAACTGAGGACACCAAGAAACGACCAAACCCTTACCAGATGTGTCGTCCACGAACCCTTTTGGGAGCTTATCTGCTTCTGATGCTCTGACTACCCAGAGGAAGTGACAGTTGCTTCTCTTAAGACCATTAGCGAGTTCATCTATTTGCTCGGCTTCAACGACAGCTAAACTCCCAAACGACAGGTAAGCGACGGACCCTTTTGGGCGTGAGTCTAGCCATTTCAGGCAAGCTTCACTTTGTGACGGGAAAAGGCTGAAACCATACAGTTTGTCGCCTTCAAGTCGCTTATCTAAAAACATAGATGGTATTGTTGGTCCAATTGTCTTTAGTGGCAAAATTTTCATCATCCAGTTTGCCACCTATATATTACATATATTTAGATTAAGTAAATATTTTCACATCAATATTTGAAATTTACATCAATAGTTTCATCATGAGAAGATCATAAACAATAAAGACTAGCTAATTAATAGTATATTGGAACCAAAATCAAAACTTTAAAGGCAGAATAATTATTTGTCGCTGACTATTTTTTATTATTATTATCATTCTCATTTACTATTTCTTTTCCATGTAGGTTAAAAAATGATGGAGGAAAAAAGCACAAATCTTATAAAATCATCTACCTTGCATAATAGAGCAAGTACCTATCATGTATCATATATCCTTTTACTATTCCTCTCAAATAACATATCATTTAAGTATTATTAGACCGTGATCTTGGTCATCGAGATTCACGATTTTTGTTCACCCAACATACCAATAATCTACTTATAATGCATAAAAATACATATCAATCAACCCCTAAATTTTTCTTCTTCCCAATCCCAACTGATCTAAAATCCTTCGCAATACTAAACACACATATAATGAAATTTATGAAAAGGATTGCATATATAACAGACCGAGATCTTGGTCATCGAGATTCATGATTTTATAAGATTTGTGCCAAAGGGGTGACACTGCCAAAGGGGCTTTAAAAAAGTAATAATAGTAAATAAATAATCAATCAATGTACTCATGTAGATCACTTTATAGCATATCTAGGCCCCGTTTATTTCGCCGATTCGAGTTTAGAATTTGAGTTTTGTTATAGTAAGGCCCCGTTCATTTCGCCGATTCGAGTTTAGAATTTGAGTTTTACTACAGTAAAAAGCTCTCAGAAACAGTCACATCTAATTTTTTTGCTACAGTAAAAAGCTCTCACACAAAATCACATCTCAACTCGAATTACAAACTCAAATCAACGAAGTGAACGGACCCTTAAAAACTCTCAGAAACAGTCACATCTAACTTTTTTGCTACAGTAAAAAACTCTCACACAAAATCACATATCAACTCGAATTACAAACTCAAATCGGGTCCCTAGATAAAATTGAATAGTACTGAACGGCGCTCACCTCTTCTTCCAGCTCATAACACGTGTTGCAGAGCACCCAATCAGCTTTCTCCACATTGGAGAACTGATCCACAGCAACTTTGGTGATAACCGGGTACGACACGGTATCATACACGAACGACGGCAAGTCCGAAGGCCGGAATGGCGGACACCCGGGGATCGAAACCTCGGACTCCGAAACCGGAACCCTCAGCAACCCTCCTTGGACGTGGTTGTATATGCTGACGACGGCGCAAGACTGGGTGAAGAAAGCAGCTCCGATAAGCCCAAACTCCTTTGCCACGTCGAGAGCCCAAGGTATGAACGAGTCATAAACTATGCAGTCGACCGGTCGACCAGTCTCCGAGAGCTTTCTAATTAGTTGGGCCAAAGACACGGGCCCGACTCGCCAGAAGCGGTCGAAGTAGGCGTCGAAGCTCTCCTCTTTTTCGCCATCGTCGTAGCCATCGGAGATGGCGTCCAGGGAGATGGCGTCGACGGCGGATGCGGCGGTCACGTTGAGGGTTCTAAGGATGGACTTGGCGGTGACGAGGGTCACATGGAGGCCTTTGTGGTGTAAACGCTTGCAGAATTGGAGCAAAGGGTTGATGTGGCCTTGGAGTGGGAAGGACAACACCAAGCAGTGGCTTGATATCATTCCCCTCTCGGCCATTTTTGATCTCTTGAATAATGATGCGAGAGTGTACTGTGTTTTAAAGATGAGCAAAAAGTTTTTCCCCTCAAATCTCTCAATCATTTGGTGTATCATACTACATTATATAAAAAGTCACGTGTATCCATTTTTTTTATTTGTTTTCTTCATGGACTTATATAAATACAAATTAAGGGTATGTTAAGAGTTAGTTTTTGTCAAATAAGCTTTAGACATCTAGCCATCATTAATAAAATAAACGGATAAAAAATTTCATTTTCTCCAACAATCTATAACTTTAAGATCCAGTGTTCCCCACAAGGTCCTTTCCAAATCTAGGTGCGCAACTTGTAATATTCGTCGGTGAGCTGTAGTGTCTTGTACACCTAATAAAGCAAGTTATATACAACAAACAAAGAACTATTTGCATGTGATTTCCTTAATTATTTAAATAAAATAAAATGTAGTGTCTTATACAACTAATAAAAATTATTATACAACAAACAAAGAACTCTTTGCATGTGATTTCCTTAATTATTTAAATAAAATAACATGTACCGTGGTGCGCGGTCCAATTACCAAGAATTTGAGCTAGCTCATACCACGTCCCTCGTTCTAGAGTAGGTGTGTTTTATATGTTGTGATGAAATAAATGAGAATTTGTTTAATCATCTTAAATCTAAGTCAAGGATATAACATTAAAAATTAAAGGTATACTTTTTAAATAAATATACAATAATGAGTAACAAACGAACTTATCCATAATTAAATTTGATATTCCTATAAATTACAAATTTATAAAGTTATTTTTGAGAAGACTGAAAATTAAACTAGAACTTTCACACACACAAAAATACTAGAGTTTACCTAAAAAAAGGAAAAAAAAATTCTAGAGTTTCATTAAAAGATTCTGTGAACTTTATTTCGATATTTTTCTGTTTATTGAAAAAATGAAATATCTTTTTTATTCCGTTACGCTTTTTGAAACATAGGCCCAACCACTCCATTAGTGGAAAAGAAAAGGAAACAAAAAAAAGTTCCAAACAATAATAGAAAAAGGCATACTTTTACTTTCCTGTTCAACTGATTAAACACGATACCAAATGAGCCCAACGTATGTATTTGCGCATTTAAAACTCGTTTAAAATAATTTTATTTTTTATATGAAAATAAAATGAAAACGTTTTTAATCTTATATAAAAATTATTTTTAAAAATGTGTTTGATAGTTTTATTTAGAGATTATTTTTAGTATAAAAAAAATCATTAATATATATATATATATCTCTCTGTACTTGAGAGAAGAGAAAACGAAAATAAAAAATAAAAAATGACTAAAAATCGTTTTTTATTTTTCTCTCATTTTACACTAAAAAAAATCATTTTCATTTCTATTTTTTATCTTTATTGTGTCAAACGTCGTTTTAAAATGTTTTCATTTTTTCTTTCTCGAAAAATGTGAAAAATAAAAACGGGATTAATTCTAAACACGGCCATTAATTCTATACTAGTACTTTGACTAGAACTTTTACTTAGTGCCAACATTCTTTTAAAAAAGTCATTCAAACACTCAAGTCTCAACATCTTATTTTGACCTCAAGATTCCAAAAGCATGATACATAAAGCAATGCCACTACTAGACGTTACCCAATTTCGCAATAAACTCATCAATGTTTTTGTCGCCTTTCTAGCCAATAAATTTCTCTTAGCTCGTTTAATTTTCTCTCTACAGTTGGCTCTCCTGAAAAGACTGTAGCAAACTCTTTGTATAGACCGATCTCTAAAAGTCAACATTATTCCAGATCAAACTTGTTGAAGTAGAAAGTCTGGCTAAAGACATATAGAAGGTAAAAAAATAATACAAACCCTATACAAGGTTATAGCTTGGTGGGAAAACATAACTCAAAACAACCAAAGCCCACACAGGAAAAATAAACACTAATACTGGCAGAATGACAACCTTTATTATTCCATGAAAAACTGAAAAAAGAGAAGAAGACACAACACGGACTCCACCATCGTGTAGATCGGCCGACATAGAATGCGTGGGTGTACTTTAAGAGCCGGCTGACTGGAGGCGTGTTTCGATAACCGGCCGGACTATTCTCCTTCTTCCCACTCTCTCTCTCTCTCTTGAATTCTCTCTCACTATAAACCTCTTATTTGGTTAGGCTATGAACTTGACCTTTATGTAAACATTTTTATTTTTTTTTGGAATGTTGATGTTTTGAAAACTATTATTAAAAATATATAGTGAATAAGTAAAAAATATATTGTGAATCTAAATATTATTAGTTTTAATTATTTTTTACTGAAAAGTTTCAATTGAGATTAAAAATTTTGTTTTACTATTTGTTTATTTATTATCATATTAAATGAAAACTAGAATACGTTTTTTAAAATGTAAATTTAAAAGTGATGAGGAGAATAGTAATTTCGAAACAAACTCTTTTAGAATAATTAGCATTCGTGTGACGTGTGTCATTTACGTTAGAAATCTTAACGCAAGAGGCATTTTGTGAATGATTCATAAACATTTTGTGAATGATTCCGACTTTGAGGGGAATGAGATTGAGGTACAAAAAATGTTATAAGAGTAGGGAAATTTTTGTAATTAATCTTATAAATTAAGTGAGAAAGAATCACTATTGTATGCTTTGTGTTGGTGGATATACATGTAGCACTGCACTGCTCCGATGGCGGAAGCACAACAAGGCAACACTAGTACTCGTGACAGCTGCTGTTGAGAAGATTGTGCAGAAGAGGCCAATCAGCGTCTTCTTATAGTTGGTGCTGTCGTTTGGGTGGGCCAGTCGTCAATTGAGATCCAACTGGAAGTCACTCAGCCCTCTAAAGGTCCAAATTACAAACTATGGTTTAGCACAAAATTTAAATTGGTTTTATACTTTAAGGATATATTATAATTTGTAAATTCCTCTCTTGGCCCCCCTCAAGGGTAACACAAGCACTTGAGAAAAATTAAGTAATATCTAACTATATGATATCAAAGTAGAGAGATCATATTCATGAGTTCAAACTGAGAAACAATAATGTAACGATATAAATAATTCATAAATTGCCGGATCAGAAAAATTGTTCATCTGAAAAGTTATATATCAATTCTAACAAGCTCAATTATATTCACTATTATTAATGTTGACGATATTGAATGTTGTTGATTAATAATAATACTTTGCAGAGGGCTATGAATATGATGCTTCAGATGATCATATTATTGACTCAGTAGTACTAACGGCCGACTTTGTATTTGTGGCCCTTGACTCCAAGACTGGAAAAGCTGCTCCAGTGAACCGGCTCCTGCACGAAACGGTACGAGAAAAAGTTCGATTCAAACGAGCAGAGGCTAGAAACCAGTTGAGTAAAAGCAAGATCAGATCAGGAGAACACAAGGAATTAGCGTTGTTAATTAGGGACGGTGCAACAGGGCTTGAGAGCTGGCTGCGTTGCCAGCCGCAGCACAGGAAAATGCATGGCAACGTCTTTGTGGGGTTTCTGATGCACACAGCCTTTGAATTGGCTTTCTCTACTGCTTATGCTTTTGCTGCCTCAGTTCCTTGCTTCTTGCAAGTCGATCAAGTTGATTTCTTGAGACCTCTGAGTAGTACAGCACTGTCTTATATACGTTCTCATATCTATTTCAGGATTTAGGATTAATAATGTGTAAATTAATTAAATATACGTACTTGAACAAATAAAATTTATGTTACTATTAGTACATTTAATGAGATTGGGTGGCTAACGCACTACTCTTTAAGGGATAAAGTTCAACTGTAAGGTTTTTAACGAACATTCTTGTTAGCGTCTGAGGAGCCCTTTTAATAAGATCTAGAGAAAATATACTAACACTGATCATCCTCTTTCTATACTTTTTTAAAGAAAAAATAATAAAATAAAACAAGAACACGTAATTGAACAAATTAATTATGCAACTGAATTAGTACCTTCATGATTTTATTAAGTTAAAAAGTAAAAATGATGTCTATGTGATGTACTGTATTATGCAGGTGGACGTGGGGGACTTTGTCCGTTTCAAATCATGTGTTTTATACACGAAACATGAGAACAATACAGATCAGCCTTTGATCAATATTGAAGTTGTTGCTCATGTTACTAGGCCTGAGGAGAAGTTTGCTGAGGTTAGTAAAGTTTATTTATACCAACAAGAAATCCATTTTAAGTAGCAGCACTGCTGTTTCTGCTTATTATAACATGATTATATATATTTGTTGCAGAATTTTCTCAAAGTTTATACTAATTATATGTAGTGTTTGTATAAATGATTATTTGTAGGTATCGAACACATTCTATTTCACTTTCACTGTGCCTCCAGAGGCGAAGATAATGAAGAACAAATTTATAATTAGGAATTAATTAATGTGAGGAATATCCCTTCGTGAAAAATGTCATATTGCTTAATAATACTTAGAAATGAAAGATAGGCGATTGGTATCTACTTCAAGAACGATGTGGAGGAAATATTGATAATTTGAAAACATATGTTATTGAGTGAAAATTAAAACAAAAAAAAAAAAAAGAAAGAAAGAAAGAAAGAAAAATTGTTTATACTTCAAGATGTGGTTATGCTCTATAAATGAACAAAAATGTGGCTTAATTTCAAAGTGGAGTAGTCACACTGGCAAAGGATTCCTTTCGTGCAAAATTTGGAATGGAAAAAGCGTGCTCCATATACAACTCCACCTGATGTACATGTCGATACTGCGTGTCGTGTATTTGTATCGCTTTATTCATAAACGACAGAAAATTGTAAACTGGAAACGACATGTTCTTTCTAGAACAGTGAAATCAAATTTTTTAACCTGAAACGACATGTCATTTATCTACTTTGCAGTGCCTATCAAAAGCCACGTGTGTTCTTCAGGTGATAAGTGACGCTAAACTTTTAAATGGAAACTAACTAATTTTTTATTGTAATCATTAAATTTTGAAAAAATAATAATTTAAAATAATTTAAATATGTCAATGTTGCGATAATCAAATAAAAAAGAAACATATCAATCAATAACAATTGAATTTAAAATATAAAACATACGCTAAATTTAATACTAACAATAACTTCTAAATTTTATATAATGATGTAGATAATAGAGTTAGAAAAAATAACCTTTAAACTTATAATAGAAAATTCCATATTAATTTTTCTTTAAAAAAAAAAAAAAAAAAAAAAGTTCTAACACCGCTCCTAAAATCACGGAGAACCTGACTCAGACAACAATTACTTTGGATGACCCGCAGGCCGCAACTAAAGTTTCAGAATTCAGATCCTTTTCGTCTGATTCAACATCCACAACTAACCACACGAAAAATCCAATATCTCCGTCTAATCTGGTCAAGAACCAACGACCGAACCCCAATCCAAGCTCGATGGACGTGAATTCCTCCCCCAAGTCCAACAACACCATTTCCGTCTTCTCTACCTTCGTCCCGCCGTCGTCGGCCGACGCCAAGTCTTCGTCTCGAAAGCCAATAAACCTGTGGCCAGGAATGTACCATTCGCCGGTGACGGAGGCGCTGTGGGAGGCGAGGTCGAAGATCTTCGAGAGGCTTCTTGACCCGCCCAAAGACGCGCCGCCGCAGAGCGACTTGCTTACCAAGACTCCCTCCGATAGCAGGACCACGATTCTTTACAATTTCTCCAACGATTACATCTTGAGAGAGCAGTACAAAGATCCCTGGAACGAGGTCCGAATCGGGAAATTGCTCGAAGATCTCGACGCCTTGGCTGGCACCATATCCGTTAAGGTACCGCAAAATACGCTTTTTCATGAACTGAATCCAAATAAAAATCATTTTTATGAACTGGGTTGTCTTTATTTGGTATGAACTGATCATGGGTATTTTCAGCTTGTTCCAAGTTTGGGATCATAAATTTCATATGTTAAAGATACATAGTTTCCTGTTTTCGGGCCTTTTTGAGTAGTTTCAATGATACATAGTGGTTTCTGTTGATCTGGTTGGAGCTGAAATTTGCAAATTGATATATGGTTTGATGTTTGTTGTAATTTAGCCAATTCGATTAGGTTTTATTTTGTGACAGTTAAGAAGTCTTCTAACCGGCATCTACTTGAATTTTTACTAATTCTTTGATTGGTAATGTGAAAAGAGGAATAAAAATGTTCGAAAGTGACATATACGGCTGTATGTATAATACTTGGTCTCTCGTCCAGGGTGATGCAATGAGTGTTACTTTGTTAGTTTATTCAATTTGGAATTTAACGGATGGATTGACCCTCTCTTATTTTTCCTTTTTGTTTCTGAATTAGCATTGTTCTGATGATGAATTCACAACGCGGCCACTGCTATTAGTTACTGCTTCCGTTGACAAGATCGTCCTAAAGAAGCCTATTAGTGTTGACCTTGATCTGAAAATAATTGGTTCTGTCATTTGGGTTGGGCGGTCATCAATTGAGATTCAACTAGAAGTCACTCAGTCCTCAAAAGGTACTATAGGGCTTCACCCTCAGAAATTGTGTAGCATCTTGTCTTGCCCGATTTTGTTTTGATGGTGTTGTATCGTTTCTCAAAAGACATGACTGTTAATGACGATAAAGATATGAATGTACAACTGTTTGATATTTTGAGACCAATTTATTTCTGTAAAATCACCAAAACTTTCATGACTTCCAGGTCTATGATCATATAAAAACCCTTTTAATCTCCTCATACTTGTCGTGCAAGTGCAATTTTTATGTTTGTCCTATGATCTTGCAACTGAATCCAATAAATCTACAGAATCAATTTCAACAGGATTACACAAGTATATTACATGCCTTTTGTTGAGTCTTTGTTGCCACTTTGTTGAGTCAGAACAGTTGTTAATGACTCACCAGTAAGCGCAGCTGATGGTATTATCAGTCCTTAATCCTTATCAAGCCCTCATGTCAAGAAATGGAAAAATGTTGAACTAGGAGTCTTGATGAGAGTGCTTTATTTTGCAGAGGGTTCTAATGCGTCAGATGCAGTAGCTCTCACAGCCAATTTCATATTCGTGGCCCGTGACTCTAAAACTGGGAAAGCTGCTCCAGTTAATCACCTCTCGCCACAAACAGAACAAGAAACATTGCTCTATGAGGAAGCAGAAGCTAGGAATAATCTGAGGAAAAGGAAGAGACAAGAAGCAGCCAGAAATGAGTTTGAGAATGGGGAAGCAAATAGACTCCAAACATTATTAGCTGAAGGAAGGATCTTCTGCGATATGCCTGCTTTAGCAGACAGAAACAGCATTCTTATGAGGGACACGCGCCTCGAAAATGCTCTGATTTGCCAGCCGCAGCAGAGAAACATCCATGGTCGGATCTTCGGAGGGTTTTTGATGCACCGAGCATTTGAACTGGCTTTCTCCACAGCCTATGCTTTTGCAGGCCTGGTGCCTTATTTCCTAGAAGTCGATCATGTTGACTTCTTGAGACCTGTTGAGTACCCCATTTGCATCCTTCTCTCTTTTCAGCAATACAAGTATCATATGTTAGTCTATTTTTTACTTTTTCTGTTATGATCTTGTAATTGTAAAGAATGCGTCTTTTATGAGCAGGTGGACGTTGGAGATTTCCTCCGCTTGAAATCGTGCGTTCTATACACCGAGGTTGAGAATCCCGATCAGCCTCTCATTAACATTGAAGTTGTTGCTCATGTTACTAGGCCTGAGCTCAGATCCAGTGAGGTAAGCCGTAAGCCACAGTTAACTTTACATTCCAAAACTTAAAAATGGTTTCCCGTTTCCATTTAAAGGTACAGACTAAGATAATACCTGTTGGTCTTTTGACTTTTGTTGTGCAATTTTGTTCCCTTTTTTTCAGCTTTATAATTGCCTGGCAATAATTTCTGTTTGGCATGATTGCTCATCTTTCTGTTGATTTCCTTTATCTCATGCAGGTATCAAATACCTTTTATTTCACTTTTACCGTGCGGCCAGAGGTGAAGGCCTCAAACAATGGATTTAGGATTCGCAACGTGGTTCCAGCAACCGAGGAAGAAGCTCGCCGTGTACTCGAGCGCATGGATGCTGAGACCTCCAGTTAGTAAGAGAGGCATAAGAAAATAAATCTGAGTTCTGTTTTATAACGGCACCGTAGTAAGCAAAGAGGCTGATTAATTGTCAGTGAATTTGCTGGAACTTAAAATGATAGGAGAAGTCCCTTAAAAAAAATGATAGGAGAAGGAAAGAGGAAAAATAAATAAATAAATAGTGCTAATAACAATGTCTGAAATAATGGTTTGTTTGTTTTTTTTTTGACAGAAAAGGATTCATACATGCATAATTAACGTAGGGACTACTGGTTTTAGCATGAGTACCGAGTAATTGTAATTTGTGGATGTGACAATGAGATCCCAAGTTTTCATTTTATATGCATTTGATTGGTGGTTGTAGAAATCTATACATTCGTCCACAACAACAGAAGATTATTCGAGATTTATTTTAGAGGTCTGTGCTGATGATTGAGTAGCATATAAAGCACACTATTAGGAAAAACATAATATAATCCTTGTGCTAGGTAGTAGGGTGACCGTTCTTCCGAGCCTGGGAAAGAAAGTAAACAAAAGCAGCCCTTTTCTTTCCCCCTTTTTGCCCTTTTTCCCCCCCCTCGACTGGATATTACCTCTTTTACTATTGAAATTTCGAAGGAATATTTGGATAAACGTGTAATGGGAAAGGTTGAAAATCTGTCAGACATCTGGAGCCGGAATCTAAAATGAGTGGGCGGAGCGGGGTGGTGTCCCATTTGTTGAAAATGGCCTTTATTCTATACGGACTTGCTTTTTAGTAGGTTTTTATATTGAAGTAACCTTTAGTTTATAGATTTAAAATGATTATTCAAAATTATTTTATTTTATGTGTATTTTTTATGAGAAAAAAATACTATATAAAATAATAAATTATGATTTATAATCAGAGATAAATACAAAAAATAAACATCTCTTAAATAGTTAAGGTGTTGTTCATTTAATTTAAATTATACTATTACAATATTTTATTTTATAAAAATTTAAATTTAATTTTTTTATTAT